TTTTTTGGGCACAGGTTCATTTAATTGTGTTTGTAAGTTCGCAGATACATATACCTCACATTTAGAACTACACCTTTTAAAAATACAAAAAGGAGACATATTTTAAAGTTTTTCATTTTAATTTAATATAAATAATCAAATCCAATTGCAAAATTTATACATATAACTGTCGACAACAATTACCTACATGACTATTTAAAATTTTATGAAAACTGGCAACTCTGCAAACCTCATTTTACTCCGTCTTAAAACAAACAGAAGAGAATATATAGAAAGAAATTATATACATTTATGTAATTATAATATAGCTATCTATCTATACATATAAAAATTAATGCGTGTTTGTCCCGTATGCGTTTCATGAATAGTTAATTGTGATAAAACTTGCATGAGTTGTTACACCCGCACCCGTAAACATTTCAGAAAAATCAGAACCTTTTTGAAATATCAGTTACGTCAGTTGTTTCAACAAATGCAAATTCTACAGCTGAAAAATCTTTGGCAGATGATTTAAGGTATTGTAATGCATGCTGGGTACAGCAAGTCACTAGTAAATACCAACTAATTACATAGCACGATATATAAAGAAATCACTACGCAACAAATTTTCAAAAGGACTCTGTTTCTGCTTTAACTACATTATTGGTTTCTGTTTTAATGAGCAGCAAGGATGTAGAAAGGAGTAGCTGTATCCATATTTGGTTTTGTGGCTGTCAGTGTGGTATTTACTAATTCGTCACTTCGAGTGGACATACTATCGTAGTCTATCGCCTGTACCACGGTGAGTGCTCTGAAGAGTTATTCAACCTTATCCCTTCCTCTCCTTTCCATCAGCGGACCACCCGTGCCGGACTGCGTTGCCACAGATGGACGGTCAGTTCAATACCGTACCGCACTAAAAAGTTTGGCAATTCGTTTTTATGCCGAACCATCAAATTGTGGAACCAACTCCCGGCGCATGTATTCCCTCCCCTCTATAACATCGGGTCCTTCAAACGTAGTGTGAAGAAGCATTTGGCCAGACCGGCAAAATGATAGTGACGGAGTGAAAATATTTGTGTTTTCCATCCGTTACTCTCATCTCTGGACTGTATTCGCACTTTCCATCAGGCGCGGTGCAGTCATTTTGCCGAGTCACAATAAAAAAAAAAATAAAAAAAAAATAAAAAAATACTGTGTACGGTATTTCTGTTGTTTAGACCCTTAGAAAAGCGTACCGAAATCGTCTCTCCTTGGGGGACGTGCTTTATACGGGAAGCCATATACGCGACCGGACCACAAATGTAAAGCTTTTTTCATTGTTTTTACATTAGAACCAATTTGAAAATTATGTTGATAATTCAGATACAAAAATCGTGTTGCATGGTGACTAAATATACTCTTTAATAAGAAATGAAAACGTCCTTTAACTAAAAATGCGTTATTAAGTAAATGTGGAATAAATAATTCAATGTTTCGTTATAATTTTTAAATATTTCATTTTATGTTGGTATGCCGTGATATTCCTTAAATGTAAGAGGCACTTAGTTTTTAAGCTTAATTGATTCATTACTTATATATTGTGATTTTTAACTGAAACATCCTAAAGGTAGAAAATTTCTTCGAGGACCATGTCCTGGGGTTCTGTAGGCTGGCAACACTCTCTCTTTAGAGAGTGTCACATTTTAAAGTCGATTTAGTAATCTATTTTTTTGTCTCTTTGAAACTTTTTGCACGAATATTTTTGTGTATGGTCAATTTACATGTTATAAAATGGCAACTCATAAGGATAGTAAAATTTTTAACCTTCTGGACAGGCTATGGCGTCTAAGTCATACTGCCACATCATAGATTTTAATCTTTGCTCAATGAAAATACTTAGAAAACGCGAGTTCTAGTAACAAACTACACAGATATATACCGTTATTCGTACAAAACGGTTTAAACAGACCAAAAATTATCGACTAAAGACTATAATATATGACAAAAGCTAAACTTATTCTTTGTCGAAATTCGCTGCCAGCCATTTAGTCACCGGAGGCTTCGTGTAACAAACTGACATTTCCGTATTACCTTACTATATTTGCATGTACATCCTATCTACCATTATTTTTATCGTGCTTTAATTAATTATTAGACATAACCAAACATGATATGTTAGTTGTTCGTACCGCCAAAGATTTTTGTCTATTTTTAAATTTAAAATTCTTATTAGAACATTTCAAACCAGTCATTTATATAATTTTTGTAGCAATTGAAGTCTAGACACAATTTAACTAAAATAACCTAACCTAACCTAACATTTTCGGCACATATCACTAGCTCTTGCAGAGTCCTGTATCACATACCTATAGCTACTTTTGTTTTAAACTTTTAATTTAAACTCTAAATTAGTGAAGTTTTATGTAGTTATTTAATTACAATCCTCTGAAGTTGAATCAAATTATTATTATTATTCAATATGTTTTAATGACAGATGTGTATTAATTTTCTCCTTAACACATACACTCATTAAGCTTTGTAGTAATTGTTTTTTAACTGATTTGAACGTTATGTTACTGGCTCAAGATTGAAGTTTCGTAAACTATTTTCGATAGTTTGTACAAGAAGCTGTTGTCCACGGTATTTGAAGTAGTTTTCATTGTAATTAATTTATATAAGCGAAACAGGGTACCGTATTACTAAATTCAGTTTGAATTATACCACCCACCTGATGTGGCAAAGGCACAATTGCATAGTTCCTAGTAAATACATATATGTACTTTAGGACAGTTATGTCTTAATTTAGTTTTTTTTAACGTTTTGACAGTTGTGTCATTGTTACACCAGATGTGCGATATGTTCGAGGGAATGGTAATATGCCTATTTCTAAAGTCGTAACATGCGTTTTTTAACAAGTAATAAATAATCTATAGTCTGTCCATTTTGAAGATGAGTAAAATGACAGTTAATTGCGTAAAATTGTTGGCCGTTTGCAAACAGCTAGTGATTGCAATCGATAAGTATTCTATCGACTATCTACTGAATGTTGGTCACGCTTATACAATAAATAGCCGAACTTGTTTCTTCTGAATCATCATCGACCTGTTATTCGTTTAACTGCTGGACACAGGTTTATTTGAATTGTCAATTTTTGTAAGTGCTTAACCTTCCAGCGGTCGCGCGCGGTCTCAGACACCGCAGCGATCTTATTTTAGCCATTTTACAAAAACTATAAACAATAAACGTTTGCGCGACTGTGATATCCCGAGGGGGTGAGGTACTTCCTTTTATTAGCCCTGTGACATTCGTTGCAAGCGCCCATGTGTCTTTATTTGTGTTTGCGGTCTCACATTTTGTGTATTATATATTTAATTATTTATTATTTCACTACTTTTTGTAGACACAACATGAGTTACGATGAATCAGTACGGCTTGCAGAGGAAGCGGAAATAGAAGATGAAGATTTTGATGATGTGAAACCATTGCTACTGATAATAAGTAGGTTATCGTACTACCTGCTCCTAAAAAAGTTAGAAGTTTTTTATTTTGTTTTCCTTTTTTATTTTATAAGAATTGAGATAGTACGTAGTTCATAATGAAAAAAAACGTTCAAAAATAATTGTGGTTTTTGGTTATCCTACAATATTGTGCAATTGATGACAATATTGATTGATCTCGATAATAATCTATTATAATGTGCTTATGAACGATTAAGATAGAAAATTTCATCTTGTTTTGTTATTTTGTTGATTTTTAACGTTGTTTGTGTCATATGACTAAAATTTTATTATTTATTATTATAATTTTATTTTATTTTTTTATTCTAATAAGTACAAATATAAAAAAATATTAAGTAAATAATGTTTTTTTATTTTCATTTATATAGTTAAAAGACTTTTTCTATCATGTGCTACAACGTCATGAAAATGTTCATTTGTCTTCTCAAACTGAACGCGTAAAGTTTGACTAAAGTTTGAGTTGAGTCTCACAGACCGCACGCGACTGCTTATGTTCGGCGCAAGGGTGCGACCACTGGAAGAACTATGTCCATTAAAATTACAAATAGTAGATATTAGTAGACCAACTGTTAAAATAAGCATAAAAAAGCATTAACGCAATTAATAATAATTAGCGTAACAACTTTACTGTCTATCACAATCTATCGATAAAACTGTCGACAACAATTACATGACTATTTAAAATTTTGTGAAAACTGACAACTCTGCAAATGTCATTTTACTCAAGCTTAAAAAATACAGACTATAGACATCACGGGATGCAGATTTCTTTTCATTTCTGCCTTATGTGTATGTGTGTTGTTCCGTAACGTATTAAAAATTTCATTGTAGTTTTTACTCAGATGTGCTTGTGTTTTTTACTAATGTGTTCAATCATTACGGGCTATGGTATAATATTAGTATAGTATAGTAAAACAAGTATGGCAACTTTATAGAAGCGGATGCACGTCGTCTGCCGCGCGCGGTGTACAGTACCAGCTGTAAATATTGCACATCGGGAAAATCCGGAAGCCACGAATATTTCCCAATGCTTTTGCCGCGCCTATAACTTATTGCATTAATAACAGATGTATTTAATATGTATTCATGCCTATGCCTCTGTCACTGGACAATTTAATATGAAACTTTATTAGTCAATGTCATTGTCAACGTTAATAAAGTATATTTTTTTTAATTACAGGCACATGAGACTTGTCAAGTTATGTGTCAGAGTGACGGGCGCCTCTGCTACTGCAGTACCCCACAGATCTGTGTGATTTAAAACACCGAGTGGTACTGCAACTGTTATGGACAGGCGTGTCACTTACCACCAGTTGGGCGACTTGTTCGTCTCATCACTTGGTCTCACAAAAAACTTATTTCGTTGTCATAAATACTTAAGTGAATAACACGATAACATTATAGACGAGACGATAGCGTTCGGATATATTATATATGGATATATATGGATTCCCAGTTTTCCCGATGTGCAATATATACGACCTGATACTGCACCTGAGTTTCCACCCTTAGCTTTTATCTTGCGTTTAAGAGTCAACTACAGAGAAAACTATTAATAAACAACATTGATTAAAAATATTCAGACACTATAGTATTAAATCTAATGAGAAATTCACATGTGAGTGTTTATGGCGACCTCGCCCGTGCTCTGAGCATAGAGCTGCTTCACCTCGTCATGTGTCAGTTGAGACACGGTCGTGAGTTTCGCCATGCTGTTATTTATCATCGGCTTAACCTGTAATTGTAATTAATATTATTGTTTTTAATTATTAATTGCAAAAAATATAATCGCACTTATAATATTACCTATGGTGGTGTTTCGTATCACCATAAAGTCGTATTTTATTTTCAAATTTTCTTTTGTTACAGGAAACGAAAGAAGGTAAACCTTAGAACACTGCAATATGGTCGCTTCTTTTCTGGAGGATTAAAAAAATCTCGAATTCGTCGTCGTTCAGCTATTAACCACTAGGTGGCAGCACATTGATTGAAATTTCAATGTAACGTCTTAGCTTGCAGTAATAGGTATCGATGGTATTGGACTTTCAACGATATGCCAACAGGGCAAAGTTTAAATTATAATATTAACAGTCCAGAATTTGTTATTGGTTTTTAAATTTGAAACTACGACCAATCATTATCAAGATTTCATAGTGTTTCGAATGAATGTGGAAAGAGTGTGAGTTTTGGCGACAGCGGTTCTGATATTAATCGAGGCTTCAGGCACTTCTTTTTTTCTTCCGTATCGCTTGACGCTTTAATGCTTACCTTATTATTAGGTATAAAACCGTTGCCAACATTCCCATTGGCTATTCCACCGTTCGGCACAGATCCGTTGCGTAGACCGCCGTTCGCGAAACCGTTCGCCATGCCATTCCCCATTCGGGACATGGCATTTGCGAACTGCTGCATCGTCGAATCTGAAGGAATATGAGATTTTTATAATTATCGTTTTATTGTAGTTCTTTTCATACCGCTTGTCTTCTAAATTCTTTATTTTATTGAATTATTAATGCATGTTTTTTAAATAGTCAAATAAAATGCTGATAGGCAATAACGTGTCAAATGTCGTGATAATAGTTTTAAGAAAATTGTGTCTGAAAATTTTTTTCATGGTTGTGACTAACGGATTTATGTCAACTGTTTTTACCATTTTTATTATTTGGCATCATTTAGTGTATGTTTGTAAAATGAAGACGAGACGACAAGCTACAATTTGGCATTAATGTCTCAAGTATCAGCATCCAAATGTTTCTTTCTTTTCGATAATGAATGTTTTAGGCTTTTCCACCAGGCGAGACGAAAATATCAACCAATTGTATCTTTATTTAGACGACGACTTTGAAGTGCACTTTCAAATGTGTTTTAAGTGAACTTAATTGCACATTGAACTCATTCAAATAGATAGGCACTTGACCGGTACAAGAGTCTATGGAGAGAAAATCCAGTTTTGTCGAGAGTCCATGGTTAGCCGTTTGGATTTGACACTCAAGGCAGTCTCCGATTGGGGCGATGCCAATCTTGTCAAATTTAACGCTACCAAAACGCATGCGGGCCTATTCTCCATAAACGGAGTCATTTTGAGCTGACTCCGACTTTCCATGATATGTCCATACATATGGCCGACTGTCTCCAGCTACTTGGTATGGACCTGTCGTTCAATTTGAATTTCGGCAGATACATTGAATTCAAGGCCAAAAATGCAGCAAGGTAGTTTTGCGTCCTTTCCAGGGTGAGCCGTAACTTTACACTGGGACAGTGTCATATCTTTCTTATTATATATATATATATTCCTTATAAGTTTTGTTTACAGTGCCCATCCCTATCAACCTCTTGCTTATGCGGGAAGGGCACTATGACCTGTGTCAGCAAGCTCGCGCAGGGACCATCTAAGTCCCGTCCTAACCCCGAACTAGCAGGTTTGCACGTACTTCATTCGGTTCTCTGTAAGGCTAGTTACAACGGGACACTTGCTTCAGCTGTACCAAGCCTTAACTGTATAAAGCCTTTAACTGCCTCAGTGGCCGAACGGTTACCATGCCGGACTGCCACGCAGAGGTCCCAGGTTCGATTCCCGGGCCGGGAGAAATATTTGTATGGTCTATATTTATTTCTCTCGTGCTTTTGGGTGTAATTTGTGGTTGTCTATGTATGTGTCCATGCTACCTGCGACACAGGGTTTCCCCAGTGCGGGGCTATGTTGAGTGTGTGCGTCATTATTATGTAAAAAAAGCACAAGTCCGGTGGTGTATGGAGTACTTCTGCCAGTTATGGGATGGCTCTGCGAAATACCAACTGGGCATTTTAGATTCAATAGACAAGCGTGCTAAGAGGCTTACAGGTGACTAGGAATTAGTAGAGGCGAAGCTGCAGAGCCTTGAACACTGCCGTAGAGTTGCCAGCTTAGCCTATCGGTATTCTGCAGGATATATCAAGGAGAGTGAGGAATGGAATTGCATAATTTGCCTTCTAAAATAAATTAAAATTCCGCTTTCCCCTTTCCATCATCGGGGGACTAGACGCGCGCTGGGGTTCCACCTCTATGTTGTGGATATTCCAAAGATTCGCTCGAAGCGTTACGCTTCCACATTTGTATGGCTAGCGGCTAGCTAGGGAGTGGAATTCCCTGCCTGCAGACTTGTTCCCCGAACGTCGTAGCTTGGACCTTTTCAACGCGAGAGTGAATAGGCATTATTTAGATGTGCATGCTCCATCGTCGACCTCATCATCACTTTCCATCAGGTGAGATGGAGGTCAAATGCGCACTTACATTTGCTTACATTTGTATAAAAAAGGATATAGAGAAACATTTGCCATAGTATAGGGAGGTCTGTGAAACTGATTTCAAATCAATCAAATTAAGGAAGAAACTCATATATTTTAATATTAAACTCTCGATTCTATGTATATATATGTGATGCCTTTGAGTGCATTGACTCAATAAAATGCTATATACTTATAGATATAGTGAGTGCCATTAAGTCAATGCATTTAAAAGGCTCTCGCGGGCACTCAAAGGCACGCCTGGCTCTCGCGGGCTCCCATAGGCACTCACGGGCACTCCTGGCTCTCGCGGGCACTCAAAAGTACACGCGGGCACTCAAAGGCACTCGCGGGCTCCCGCGGGCATTAGCGGGCACTCCTGGCTGTCGCGGGCCCTCGCGGGCTCTCAGAGACACTCGCACGCACGCGTTGCTACCTCGCTCATCTCTGGTGTAATCGCAGCCTAAACGAATCTTGAATGTTACAATACAGGCGAATGTTCTCGGTGAGGGAGAGCCCTAAGATGTTAAAACTTTAAACACTCTACGCTCTTGTGCATTTGGGTCCTGTGCTACGGTTCGTAGCATTTGCTACGCCGGCATACAAAGTCACATTGTATCACCATTCTAGTGCACTTACGCACCTACATACCTGCAGGTGGGGAGGGGGAACGAGGGGCTTCAGGCATAGCAGCGATGGCTTCTGCCTTCTCCATCTCCTCAAGAAGGACTCTCGTGAACTGCTGCTGCACGTCGGGTAAGTCCGTGTCGCCGTCCACCTGCGAAGTTGTGGCATTATAGATGCAGATACGTAGATAGACTCCAAGGTATTTAGTAAAACAAGTTAAACCTATTATAGTATGTATAAAATGTAACAACTTCGTACAGAAACAACTACACTTGGTCGTTTTGAAAATGCGTGCGTGCGTGCGTGCGTGCGCGTGTGAGCGTGTAAGCGTGCGAGCGTGCTTGTGTCTGTGTGTGTGTGTGTGTGTGTGTGTGTGTGCGCGCGTGCGTGTGCGTGTGCGTGTGCGTTTGCGTTTGCGTGTGCGTGTGCGTGTGCGTGTGTGTCTGTACAAAGTATCTTAATATCTTATTTTATATCTTAATACAAATATGTGTGCAGACAGCAGCATATCAAGCTACGATATTGACGGATCGTGTTCCGTTGCACTGGAGGTGATATTCGAACAAAAGTGTACAGCTTGATGTGCTGTTGACTATACTTATAAAGAACAAATAGACTTCAAGTGGTGCTACGGTAATGCATGTATCCTTCAATAGATCTTTTCTATACTCACTATGACCAATCGATATTCTTGATCGAGTTTCTTGAGCATTGGTAGACTAAGTTCTCTGAACACTTCGAGGCGCCGTCTGAATGCCGCCACGGAGTCGTCTCGTCGCCCTCGACCGAGTTGCAGCTTCGAACAGTCCAGGAGTACCATGCGGGGTGCTGTGTGGAACTGAAAAATGATATTGGAGAAGAAATTACAGTGGAGCCGTGGAAATACCAAATGCAATTCAGTAGAGGTAGAGCTCGTACGATATTATCAAGTGATGAGACGGAATAAGTCGAACCACTCAGAGCTTTAATCGCCAAGACCTAAGCTGCAGTGCCACTGCAGAGTGTCGCTCTGAGGCATGAAGTCCCATATGCCTGTACTTTTACCAGTACCTGTATCCTTCAAAACCGTAACGCAGTAATGTCCACATTATTGCGTAGCCGCTGATATAGGTATGGTGGCAGTACTTCCCCGCATGAACTTTTTCAAGCTCTTGCGAGCTCTACTGCTACTAACTCTACTTTACTGTGACTGGTTATCGTAGTAAAACTATCATTAAGTATAGGAATTTGTACGAATTTGACAGAGTTCCGACTACGGGGGATGGCTAGTTGTGTAACAGTCTGATTTTCAAGATTTTCTGTCCGCAATTTTCGGATTGTTTTATTTTTATTTTATAACATCTGTGATGGGATGAACAAGTCTTGTGCCCGGTGGTTAGCAACACGCCTACCCATAACAGTGCCACTCAGAAGGCGTTCGTCAGACGGCCCCCTACTAGATGGACGGATGACCTGGTTAAGGGCGGCGGATAACCGATAGATGCACGTCGCGTCCGACCGGCTAGTGTAATATCTTTGGGGGAGGCTTATGTTCAGCAGTGTGAAAGTTCGTCCAGGGAAGTATCTATTTCAGCCGCCAAACAGTAATAGGCACAAGGGAATTGCGAACTTTATGTTTCAAGGTGACGGGTGCGTGGCAGCACCCTTCAGATCTTTGTGGTTTAAAGGTCTGAGTGGCACTATTACGATTATCATCATCTAACCGATATCTAGGATTTTATAATACTCTATATGTGAGTAATAAAACAGAGAAATGCTAAAGTCACATGTTTTGCTCATTTCAGTGAATTCAAAATTTGGCAGTTTCGACATACAATACTTTACGTAGGAGGAGTCAACAATACTCAGAAGAGAACCGGCGGCAGTGAGACTGTAAGAACAGCCTGTATACATATGTTTAGTATCGCAACCAAACCGGTTTCGCTGCGCCACTGGACCGTAGCTTGCAGAGAGCGCGATATTTCAATTTGTATTAATACCGTGTTTTAGTTTTTATTACTTTATTTTGTTTGTCACTCGTATTATCTTCTTAACGTTATTGTTCTTTCTTTTGTCATTGTTTGTGACGAATATCTGTCTTATGTGTACGTTTATTTGTATTAAGTATTTCTTGTTTAAACAAAATATATTCTGTGTGATCATAAAAGATTATGTGTGTATAAATGTTATGAACAGTTGCAACACTCAAACAAACCTATTAGGTTTAAGAGTGCCAAGTACCTAAATACCAAATATTGTATTATAAGTAAATAAATAAATAACAATAAAAAAAAAAGTCGATTTCGCCAAATATAATCATTAAGTACTAACATAGGCCATGAGTACAAACACGATTTTGGACATATTAAGTTGTTTGAATTGCAAATAAATAAAAATATGGGTTCTGTAAAGGTGTAACATACCTCCGTTTCAAACTGTTCCATTTGCTCTAAGTGCCGAGGGTACCCATCTAACACTAATCCATGTCCGCTTCTTGCCGCATCTGTGACAGCAGCCCGCACTAACTTGGTGACGAGTTCTTGCGGGGCCAGCTCCCCGCCACTGACGGCTGTGCGAGAAAGCGCTCCGTCAGAGGCTGGGCCCCCACCCGCATCGGCCAAGGCACGGAGACGCTGGCCTAGACTGTAGAAATATGCACGTTATACGTTTAACTGCCTCCGTGGCCGAACGGTTACCATGCCGGACTGCCACGCAGAGGTCTCAGGTTCGATTCCCGGGCCGGGAGAAATATTTGTATGGCCTACATTTATTTCTCTCGTGAGTTTGGGCGTAATTTGTGGTTGTTTATGTGTGTTTCCATGGCACCCGCGACACAGGGTTTCCCTAGTGCGGGGCTATGTTGAGTGTGTGCGTTATTATTATTATTATTATTATTATTATTGTAGAGCATGTGATTACACTACGCGAAAAATCCATGCTTCATGAAATTTATAATAACTACCTAATTTATAATATAATATCTTTATAATATAGTAATAATATCTTTTTATCTCCACAATACAAAACAAAGTAACAATACAGTAGAGAACATACTATTACATACGCTTAGAGTAATGGTATTGTGGGAAACTGGAGCCCAAACTAAGCAGAGATTGTAATATGGGTCTCCAGGCACCCAACCCCTAGGATGTCATGTTAATGGTATTGACTATAATATATTATGTTAATTATTATTAAACGGCCAAGTGCGATGTAATTTACGCAATTAGAGTTCCGTAGTGGTTCCGTGCGTTACATGGAACAATGAGCTTCTTCGGTCTAAATAATTTTAATGTTTTCCACGATCCCGTCCGAGGCAACATGGAAATTAATTTTTTTTGCATTTTTTAATACGCAAATCGAAAAACACCAATTTCGTTTCAAACTAGTACCAGAGAAAGGAATTTCAGGGCACTACCTAGCTCCATGCGGACCCGATTCGGCGCAGACGACTGGGGGCTTTGGCGAAGGCGTTAAATCCGTTTCCTTCCACCATCTGCTGAACCAGTGATTCTCATCTGCATTGTACGGTTTTGCCCGTCTCGGCAGATGCCCATAATGTACTCGGGCGTGTCTCGTAACGCGAGGAGGTCCCCACGGATGGTGCCGATCACCGAGGCAGTGTGAATCTTTGCGGGACCGGCACAGGTGAGAGGGTTTATCGGGCTTTTCGCGCTGGGTGGGTCCACGGAGGAGAGTTCCACGTTACCCCGCCATGTCATCGCCCGCGGCCGGGTATGCGAAAAATAAATAGCACTACCTAGAATATCCACCTTAATCCAATTTTTAAAAAGTCCCTTTCCCAAATAAGTCCTTCTCCACCAACCCACAGTGCTAACCGCTGGGCCACCGAGGCCATCATTAACGACAATAACAATTCTTTGTAATATCAAAAATGCTTTTTTCACATGAAAGTAATAAAACTAAAACCACATGAAACAAATTATGTATATGTGAAACTTTATGACTCTCTTATTGAAACATAAAAAGTTCTTATCTAATTTGGTTCGTACAATCTTTAACCGTAAATGTACACAGAATATTATTCCTGTGATTATGTAAACGCTCCATGAAAATATGACTCTAAAATTTACCCCTATATATTCTACATATGGCCATAAGGTATCTATCACGTGGTCTCTGGTATTTATACAGTGATTCATATAAAGCTACGGGCTTACCCGCTTGGGCCTGAAGCATATAATTTATTACACTGATGTTTAGTACATTTGCATGTAGATATGTTGAGCGTTATCACTTTTCCCATTCTAGTTTACTGGGTTTTAGAGCGATTACAAACGTCGACTTTTAGCAGCTCGTCTGCAGCGATTCAATCGCTATGCAGGAGCATTCGCTAATCGTCTACTCTGAGACATTCGCGCTACTTAGGTAGCGATTCAATCGCGATTGAAATGCGATACAAACGCGACGCAAATGCGATGTACGTTTTTAATGATTCAATTGATTGCATCGATATATGTTAGACTCAACTCACACTGGCGCAGAGTCGAAGCGTCGCGTCGCGTCCTGGTTTTCAACTACAACGCTTGACGTGACGACGTTCGCATTAGTGCGCCCGGATCACAGTGTGATCGGCGTCTAACGCCGCATTTGCATAACACAAATTTGTACCTTAATAATGGGATAACAGAGATGAATATACGATTAGCGAAAAACATGACGCGTCGCGACGCTTTGACTATGCGCCAGTGTGAGTTGAGCCTAAATCACAAGTGTCGCCACACAGTCTCGTGTTTCACAATGACCGCTCTTAGGAGATCTTCTTTCTTGAAAGTTGTCATTTTGCAGATGTAACTGATGAATAGATTAATACTCATCACAGAGTTGTAGTTTAAATTTAAATTCAAAGCTATACATCAATCAATCAATCAGCCTATTGCAGTCCACTGCTGGACATAAGCCTCCCTAAGTGTACGCCATAGTGCCCGATCACCCATTTTCCGCGTCCAACCACTACCCGCGACCTTCTTCAGATCGTCGGTCCATCTTGCAGGGAGACGTCCTACACTGCGTTTGCCGAGACGCGGTCTCCACTCGAGAACCCGTCTACTCCATCGCTCATCGGTTCTGCGACAGATGTGGCCAGCCCACTGCCACTTCAGCTTGCTACACTTCTGGACGCTGTCCACAACTTTAGTCTTAGACTTTGTCGCTTAACGAGATGCAAAGAAAGTAGCTAGACATATTGAAATAAAAATAACATTATATTTAAGTAGATTCATATTTCACTTTACAATCATTTGTACGATTTTATACACACAGACACATTATCTTTCTCTCTAAAATACACACACACACACTGACAGACACAAAAACACGCACACACACACACGAACCACGTTTTTGGGGAAGATCTTAAATACAGGCTGATGCTTTTGTGGTGTTGTATTATATACCGAATTTTATTCTAGAAAACCTGTTATTGGCTGTAATATTTTAAGGTTTACTTTGTATATTTGACCGACTTCAAAAAAGGAGGAGATTCTCAATTCGACTGTACGTTTTTTTTTGTATGTTTGTTACGCGATAACTCCGGTATTTGTGAACCGATTTTCATGATTCTTTTTTTGTTGGAAAGGGGGTACTTCCATAGTGGTTCCATTTCATTTTGAAGGAAATTATCCACCTCTAAGGGTTCACGCATGAAGATTCATTTTTATAAATAGCGCCAAAATTATCTTGAGGAGCAATTATTTTAATGGTTGATTTTGCTATTTCTCCAATTCAAGGCGTTTTTATCTCAATATTCTTTGAGTAGTGAGAACCAATTTTTATTATGTCTAGTGTCAAGGCCGGTATAGTGGCGAATTTAAGGATATTTCAATAAAACTTAGCAAATAGACGTAATTCTACGTACTTTTGAGGTCTGTTTTTTTAGTACTCTGTACTGAGATTATTATGATATATAATCAATAAAAGTATGGTTTTTTTGCCTCTTCTGAAAGTTATTCCCTTTTTCATTGAAGGCACTGAATTTACAGCGAGAGGATTGCGGGACGCAAGTACGACCCCCCACACCTGACCTCCTAATGTTTAGACTTGCGATGAAATACCTCGCCTTAAAGTATAAACAAAGTTATGTCATATAATTGTAGTGCCCCTAGAAGTGACCCCGTTGTTATGTTACTAAAAGTCTAACATAAAGGGTTCTGGGTAACCAAAACACACGTCGCTTCATCGGCCGTAAATAATCTATTAAATTTGCGTGACTTGCATCTCTAGGCACTTAATTTAATGGACTTCGTTAATAGCGTAAAAATTGTAGGAATATTTATTATCCATTTTCACGGGTATACATATACCTACGTACTTGTGATTTTAATTTCTATGATGGCTACGTACATTTGTGAATATCTAGTAAAGTCAAACTCAAGTAAATAATCTCAATCCGATTAAGTGTCGATACTACCGGTGCTTGAATTCAAATTTGTCCCGTACTAATATGGTTCATTTTGCTTGGATCGAGCGGCAGGGACGCTGGCATTATTTCAGAAATTATTTCTTTTACAAACCCTTGACCATGTTACAAACGAAATTAGCCACTTGAAAAATGTACATGATATACGATACATGTAGTATTTAGTAGTTCAGTATATAAAAAGAAATCATAGGTATGTAAAGTAACAGTAGAGCTCCTCATTTAGTTTCACTATAATCAGATATTTGGTTCCACGATAAATTTAATAAACCTCGTAAGTTATGGTAATCGTAAATCTCTTTAAATTAGAAACAACAACTAATAATTAAGATTTCATAGAGCTTAACATTATGATAGTGTGTTTTGGCGACAGCAATTCTGATAATAATCGAGACTTGAGGCACATCCATTGTTTTTTTTTCCGTGGCGTGAACACAGAACATAGGAGTCTACGATATCATGATCAAAAAACATTTTCATTTTTGAAGTACCTGAAATGGGTCCAGTGTGACTGTTGGGAGACAGCTCGTTGGCACAGTGTCGCTTTATTACTGCCGGGACCGCCCACCACCCACAGCATCGGAGTCTTTGTCGCTGCACCTCGAACCCTTATGATTTCAGGCTGGAATTACAATATACATTATGATAGTTTTCCTTTTTTTCCTCTATCTGATTTTAACTACTTTTACGGGTCATGATTAAGAATATTGGCCTAATCCAAAATTGATCCTATCATGACTTATACCATAATAATCTTCGTCTTAGCGTGTCGACACCACAAATACATGCGCTGTCAGAACTATAACCCCACTATGCATGCTATTCTTGCTTCGTCCCCAGGGCCGAATTGCGATCCCACGATCGCAATCTATTCAGACTTACAAGTTTGCCAAGGTAGTTTATGCCTAGGAGGAAGGTGCTCGGACAGCGGAATGAGTGATGCCGTGGGGTATCTCTCTTTTCAGGGATTTATAAGGGCTTGGTTAGTTTCCCCGTCCAGAGGGAATACTTGTTTAATGAAGCTATAATAATAAGACTAATACGGTACGTCTATACAAAGACAGCATCGTGACTTGTATGTGTAACGCCACGCGCCGTGTAAGCACGCACACATTCGCATGATGTCGCAACGCACTCGCAGAACTATAAATGGTATAGAAGTGCTTACAAGGCGGGGTACGTGTGCCAATAGTAAGCGCACTTTCATATGCTTGAGCTCAATTCGCCATTTCCGTTTTGTACGTTACAGTCATGCTAATTAAAAAAAAACCGCGACAATTGTGGAAAAATGCCTTATTTCGCTACATATCGCACTGTTAATACAATAGTGTATTAACTCAAAAAGAGGACTTTTTCAGAATTGATGAAAAACGAATTACTCACTTCCCGCAAAAAAAATATTAAAATTTATATGTTATACTTTATTATAGACACATAAACAAATTCTAAAATGTATTTTTAAAATAAAATGGAAAAAGTAATTTAATGTTTTTAATTAGGATTATTTTGGCCAGAACTAGCTCACATAAAGTGTGTCTCTTTTTGAGTTAAGTAGCTATTTTTTGATTGTTTCTTACAATATTCTAACAACGGTTTTTTTGACGTGTAGAGAATCAAATTTTACGTTCAGTAATGATATAATATTAAATTTCACATATTTTGAGTTACAACACTATTGTAATAGCAGTGCGATATGAGAGCAAGAATGATAGTCGCAACTGTAATATTATCCATGGTGGTGTTTCATGTCATCGTTAAGTCTTATTTTATTATAACAAATTTTTCCCTATTTCCCTTTATCGTATCGTAACAGACTTTTTGATGGCAGCACTACACAATATTAACAATATACTATACTACGCTAGATGGCAGCACTTTGAATGCAATTTCAATGTAAAATCAAAACTTGCAATAATAGATATTGAACATTCAACGATATGCCAACTGGGTAACGTTTAAATTATATTAACAGTCCAGAATTGTTACATATTTTTAAATTAGAAACTACGACCAATTATTGTCAAGATTTCATAGTGTTTGACATTGCGATAGTGCATAGGTTTAAAGCACTTCCATTGTTTTTTTTACGTCTGTGGCGGGGTTCATCGCACGTGCCATAAATTGAGGATATCAGCGCAAAAGTGGTGTAACCCACATTATTTTTTTTCTTAAACGTTACTGTAACTATTGGATGCTATTTAGATCTATAAAAAAACATAGTACAGTAGTAATACCTTCGCTAAGATGAAAGAAAAGATGACGGTGAAACATACCGATGACGAGATGACGAAACTTGCATTTTCAAGAGCTTTCACAAACTTTAGAAATATGTGAAATTCCCAACACGCAATGAAGAGACCCGCACCCACCAGTGGACAGAGGTTGAATTCAACGCGAGCTCTCTTGCGAAATCCCTAAAGTTCGATCAAATCTATGTAAAACGAAACTAGATAAATGTTCAAGGCATTCTTAGAACCAATCAGAATATTGTGTTAAGTCTGGCATTTAAAGCTTTTCTTATAAAATATTTCTTTAAAAATAGCGAAAAAAGGGTAAACAGGTCGCGGGACACGTGGCCTATTGAATGAACGCCAGAAACGCTTATTCATGCCTAGTCATCACCGCTTACAATGTGAACGAATGTTTTGACTAGCCTGCCTACTACCCTGCCCCAACTTACCAGAATATATATTTAACAAGCAATAATTTTTGAAGCCTTTCTTGCGCATTTATGTAAACTTTTAAAAATCTATTTAGCATAAATTGTACTTGTCAAAGAATAATAAAATAAATAATTGAAGAAGGTGCAGACTACCAAAAGCCTCTGATCTAGTGATGCAGCTGAGGCAGAAACGGAATTATTATTGTTCGTTCGAATATACATATGTGGGATTACTTGTATTTTTCTTATTATAATATAAACTGTTTGTTCCTACCTTTTTGCTGAGAAGTATTATTAAAAAGAAATATGACGAGTGTCAAAAGTTGTGTCAGTTTTGTGTCTTGTCATTCGCCGTATAAATTAAAGAAGATTTATTTTAACGGTTTATTCGTTGTCTACAATCCCGCACACATATTAGAACGAATAGTTCCAACACAATATTGCTATAAAACTCATCTGTCGCGAACGTTGTAAACTTCTAAACTTACTATATAAAAGTTGCGGAAGCAGAAACGGATCCCTATTTCTGTCGCCAAACAGTAATGCTCACATTACTGCGTTCCGGTTTGGAAGTGTAAGGGTTCCGGTGAAATTATAGACATGTAGGACTTGTCAACTGCACTGCAACTGTTATGGATAGACATGTCGCTTACCACCATACACGACTTATTCGTCCCGTAAAAAAACGGACTCAGATGTGAAAAAGCGTGCGGAACTCCCGCAGTTGGGAAAAGCAGAAGCAGAGGTCTGTTGCATCACCACACTGATCTTACCTTCGGACTAGCAAGTCTCTCCATCTCACTGTTGTAATGGTGAACAGAAGGCGGAACAACCACAGGTGCAGCTATCGGCAATGCTGTAGCCTCCTCTCTACCGTCTCTGGCATGGTTAAGTCCCCTCGCTAGACCTCCAGGTGCAGGTTCCACGCCCACGATTTCGCCAGGTATACCCCCCGCACCAACCCCTACACCACTGACGCCGTTGATCGTGGTCTGATCGTCTTGAGTGCCGAGGATCTGGAGAACTGCTGCTCGAAAGTCTTTGTATACGTCCTCTGGATTGCGTTCGCCATTTACCTGTAATAAAGGGTTGAATGAACAGAGTGGTAACTTAATGGTATTACGCCGGAATGGGGATATTTCCAGTCATTAATACGAACGTATTAATCCCCTTTCCGGCAAGTTATACACAAGTTAAGAGTATAACAGCGAAAGTGTTAAATCAATCGCTTTGGGAAACAATATAATAACAATAAAATTGAGGATATATAAAATAAACATAAACTGACCTCGAAATTTTACAAGAAAACCGCTGTATTAAGAAAACCGTTGTACTTTCTTTACATATACCAGTGATTTCTTTTTTATATCAACTGAACTAAATAGAACATGTTATAGTATATGATATACATTCTTCAAACGGCTTCAATTTCGTTTATAAAAAATAAATTTTGAAGTGAAGCCAGTGTCCCTGCAGCTCGACTCATATACA